AGCAACATAGGAAGGTCTATCTAGCCCAGTATTGTTGACACTGATTCGCAGCAGCTTCCAGACATCACCAAACTTGCAAGCTTTGCTAAGAAGCAGTCTTACAGTGGAGGGAGGGAGGAAATGAAAACAAGCAGAGAACACTCCAAAACCCACCAAATGAGCATCCATTGGATTCTTTAACCTGGCTATTAAAGTGATGTAAAATGGATAATGTGCCTCCTCCCCGCTCTAAAAACATGCACAATGTTCATTTTTGAAAACTGCCATTTGTGTCGAGCATTTGCTTTGAACTTCTCGGTAGCGTGTTATTATCAATCATCCACGAACTCCTTATCCTTCATCATGGACTGAATGTGTCTGCCTCACACTTCATTTTCAGGACCCTGTTAGTAGCACCTGAATAATGGGAAGTATAATGAGGGTGAATAATGGCTGGAACTGGGAATTTCTGGTTGGACCATTAGGACGAGGTTACACTACTCCTATTTTGTAGGCTACCCACTGTCTGCCAATACATTGCCAGATTTAAACTGTTAATATTGAAACATACGGCCATAAACAGCTCGAGGCTCCAAGTATCAGAGGAACACCCTTCCCTGGATCAACCACCCCAAGCTTTTGCTCCACTGGCTCTTTATGGCCAAGTATGTGGTTAGACAAGACAAGGCCTTTTCTGTGGTGGCACCTTGCCTGCAAAACTCTTCCTACTATTAAAGCTTTTTTAGTGGACTTTGGATGCAAAGTTAAATCATGCATGTTCCCCAGGCCTTTGGTGGAAATTGATAAGCAGTCTAGAGCCTGGAAGTGGGTCTCTTGCCCTCTGCTGGATCCAGGGCCGTCTTTAGCATATCTGGCGCCATGGTGCAAATATTCCTCCGGCACCCCTCCCATTCCATTTCCCAGAGTTGTCTACCTTTTTTTAGGGAGGGAACACCAGCAGTGGCGGAGGAAGCCTCTTGGGACAGGACAGCACTGCCGGCGACTCACCCAGCTTTATGGGGCTAGAAGAGGTGGGCAGTGGCTGGAGGGCGGCTCCTCTGGTGGGGAAGAGGCAGAGGCTGGACGTGGCACCACCCAGCTTGGCTGGCCACTTCATGCCACAGTGACCATGGCAGGCAGAGGCTCTGGGCACAGCGCTGCTTCGGCGTGGCATGGTGAAGGCGGGCGAGGGTGGCGAGCGGACCGAGGAAGCCTGCCTCATAGAGATCCGCGGTACCTGATGCCTAGCTCGAAGACGAAGACGGCTAGCAGAAGGGGCGCTGCTCACTCCTGCGCCTCAACCCATTGGGTGAGCAAGCACACTGAGTGAGCAGGCCTGCGCTGAGTGAGCAAGGGCGCGTGCGCCACTCCCGCCAAGTGTCAGCTCGGTTTTTTCCCTTTTAGCCTTGTGGCACCCTGCAGAAAAAAACACGAGCCAACGTTCAGCAGGAGCGGCACATGCACCCTTGCTCACTCAGCGTGCTTATTCAGTGTTCCCTGGACTCTCGCCTGGCGCCCTCCAGAACTTGGTGCCCAGGCGCCCCGCACCACTAGCATCTAAGGGTAAGATGGCCCTGGCTGGATCCTGCTTATTGTTTTATTCTGTTGTTTAATTGTTGACTTTGTCATTTTAATTATTGTCTTATTACTGATTGTAATAATAAGTAACTAAGTTAGCAAAAAGTCCCCCACCCCAAACACAGAACCAGATTTTCTCAATATCTTGCACCAATTCAAATGGAGGAAAGGAAGGATGGAATAAAAATACTGTGAAAGCAAGCATTGTGTGTCTGGGGGGAAGAGGGAGCACATTCCCCCGCCCAGCCAGGATTTTTCCTTCTGTAGTTCCATTAGAATGAACCACAGCTCTGCGAGGCTCCCCGCATACTCTTCTGCCAGCCCTCATTCATTCTCAAGTTCCTGGTGAATTGTTTACTCTCCCTCCCCATCTCCAAGCAGGCACCAATTATGCTTTTTTTTTTAGGTTGCAAAAGTCATCGCCAGGGGAAACATAATCCAGGCTTTGCCATTCTTGGACAGCAATCTTTCCCTCTCTCTTACTTAGTGAATCCTCTGGTCTCCATCCCATATCCAAAGGCCAATAATTTGCAAACTATAAGGTCACTTTCAGCTCTGTTCCAGATGGGAAGGATGAAAAGGGAGCACACATTGCCATTCTGTGTTTATTCTCTTCCAAGCCCAGGCTGGCATCCAGAATCGTTCTCTCTGGCTGGCACCATCTACAGTAGGCAAAGCAAGCAGCTCTCCAAAACTCCACCTTGACAAGCACAAAGGAAGCAAATCAAGAACACCTAGTTATTGGTACTGCAGAGAATGCATGGAAAGCGGGGAGCACACATGCAACCCTTTTCAAATATCAACAAGCAGAGCCCCACATTAACTCATAGTGGGTGAGAAAGATGGGATGAAGCAGGGAAGAGAGACTTCATCTCTTCCTTTGCCCCTCATTTTGGGTATTTTTGCTCCTTCGTATGAGTACGTTCCTGGATTTTTCATTGTAAATTGGACTAGTGTGTCCTTGTGGCTTAACTAAACAATAGGTGTTTAGTTGTTGCCTTTTAGTTTATTGTAGGAACTACATAATTTGGATAGAAAAATTCCTAGTTCTAACCTAACTAGCTAATCTGGAAAAGAAAAGAAAAAACCACCATGCTTGCTCCTTTGTTCTCAGAGGATAGCTCCAAGATGAATGCCCACAGAACTGGATGTCCTGTAGCTGGCGATGCTCCCATAGAGATAGATGGGAACAATCATTGAGCTTTGATCTGATGTCCAGAAGCCAGATTACTGTATTTCTCTGCATCTTATGCAGGAAATGTGGTGCCCATTCTGGTGCCCAAGGAGTTCATCTAGGCATCCTTTGCTGTGCCCTGGATCTGGAACAAAGAGTGGACATTCTGCCATGCCGCTGTATGGGTGTGCAACAACTTGGTCCTCAGTGTCCACATGTATTGACTCTTGTTTCTGAGTTCACACATTGTGGATCAGGTTGTGGTGCAAGATGAAAATGGAAAGAGGTGAGGGGAGCAGAGAGGTACCAGGCCCTTCCTGGGAACAGTTTAGCTTTAGCATCATCTGTGGCCCATTTGTATGGCGAAGAATTAAAAGAGAAGAAAAGGTATGTGTGTTCTTTTTTGTGTGGTGTTTGTATGTTGTTGCAGCCATTTGCATCTCAGTGGGTGTTTGTGATGGATTTGATTTCCATCAGCTTCCTCCCCTGTTTTCTTGGTAAACATTTGCCACCAATGCTTTTGCAAATCTTCGCACTGCAGAGAGGAAATAAGACCCATCCATTTGTGCCGGCGCTGTTAAAGATTTTCTATAAAGTGCCTGCATTTCCAGTACAGCTGAATGGATTTCATTACAAGGGAAAAAATGTTAGGACAGAAAAGTGCAGTGGAGGAAAATATTGTCTACAATAATGATTCACAAATGCACAAGACCATCCGTAGCCTTGTCTCCTCTACGCCAACTGTGAGGCCAAAAGTTGTTTGAAACAGACTCTAATGTATGGATTTGTTTGAAAAGTCAGGGTGCTTTCCTACATTACTCATCAAGGAGGTGGATTAGCTCACCTTGCTGAAGTGTTCTGAGGTGCTGAGGAAAGCAAGCACAGAAAACCTCCCCCTTCCAAATAAGAAGGCAAATTGTTTCCTCATATTGGGGTAGATTAGCATACAGCTAGGGTGTGTCTATGCCCCTTGTGGTGGTGATCACTTTTGTTACTATTTATTATATTATATTTTTTTGTTTGCTCATCTCAGTGAGGTCTCAGGGTGTGTTACAGTAATTTAACAATACAGGGCTATTTTTGGGATGCGGGTGGCTCTGTGGTCTAAACCACTGAGCCTCTTGGGCTTGCCGATCAGAAGGTCGGCGGTTCGAATTCCCATGATGGGGTGAGTTCCCGTTGCTCTGTCCCAGTTCCTGCCAACCTAGCAGTTCAAAAGCATACCAGTGCAAGTAGATAACTAGGTACCACTGCGGCGGGAAGGTAAACAGCATTTCTGTGCACTCTGGTTTCCATCATGGTGTTCCGTTGCACCAGAAGTGGTTTAGTCATGCTGGCCACATGACCTGGAAAGCTGTCTGTGGACAAATGCTGGCTCCCTCAGCCTGAAAGTGAGATGAGTGCCGCAGCCACATAGTCGCCTTTGACTGGACCTAACTGTCCAGGGGTCCTTTACCTTTACCCTACCTTTACAGGGCCTTTACCTTTACCCTACCTTTACCAGTTGGTTTTAACCATGGAGGCAAATGAAACCTCCTTGTTCAGAAGAAGCATGTTGAGAGTCCTCCATTGTGATTCCTGCATTGCAGAGGGTTTGACTAGATGACTCTCAGGGTCCCTTCCAACTCTACAATTCTATGATTCTAATTGTGTGATTGTGGAGACACTTAACACCCTGCTAGAGGCATCTGGTTGGTAATTAGATACCTAATTACATTTACTTTTATTCTGATCCACCAGAGCTCTCTTTGTGATAAAAGTTAGGTGAATCATAGAATCGTAGAATTGGAAGGGATCGTGCAGGAATCTGAACTAAAGCATCCATGGCAGATGCCATCCAGCCTCTGCTTAAAAACCTCCAAGGAAGGAGAGCCCACCACCCTCCAAGGGAGACCACCCCACTGTCAAACAGCTCTTGCCGTCAGAAAGTTCTTCCTGTTTTTTAAGATGAGTCAGAAGCTCTTGTTCTTCAACAAGGTTTCATGACGCTCTGTTTTATCTCCTGAATGGGTAAACAAGTCAAAGGTTGGACCAGGCCCAGGTGTGCATGTCCTGTGATAACAGAGTATGAAAAGAGTCCCTAGGAGGCTATGGGGGATATAATTTTGCATTCTCAGTTACATGGCATCTCAGTTTAACCTTAAATTTAATGTACGCAGCTGAAAAATAACATATGGAGCGGCTCCACCATCAAATTATCAACACAGCACAGAAGAGAAAACAACAACCTTTATTTTTGGCATATCCAGATAGCTGCAAAGACCAAGGCGTCAGGTTGACGTACAGAAGAAATGCAAAGTTTTGATGATTAACAAATAGATGGAGGCTGTTTCCTGTAGAGTGGCTGTGATCTGAGCATCCTTGCAGTGAGGAATAATAGGAATTGAGCTGTTAATAAAGAGAGGCAGCAGAATTATTTATCCTCCGGCACAGAGGGAGAGAAGGTCTTTCACTGTCTGCATTAAGTCCTCCCCCACCTGCCCAAAGCAGAAGGTTTTTATGCAAAGCAGTGGCAGTTCAGAGATTCTTACAAAGTCAGTTTGGTGGGTGGAGGGGCTCCCTGAATAGTTTTTCATGTTGGTGCAGCTAAAGGCACTGCTAGATAAGAACCAAAGAGACTTGTGAGGGGAGGTGGACCAGCATACTCAGTTTCCTTGGATTTTTAAAACATATTTTCCTGATTTGTTTTATTGACAATATTCTCAGTTCATGACTGCTGTTCAGGGCATTTTTAAATAAAGGAAAATTAGGTGTAGAAACACATAGCTTTGTTGTCATGCCATCAACAACACTTGACATTCAGGCTTTCTTTCTATAATTGCTAATCAAAAGAAGAATTTGAAACTTAGAATTTTGAATACTAACCACTTAGTATGCAACTGAATACTGAATACACTGTATTGAAGAAAAATGTCTCACCTGCAAATCTGTGCATTTTCGTGGGGTGGGGTATCTCTGCTCCAGTCTGCATTGTTGCTATGCATAAGATTATTGATCAAACCACGCCCATCTTAGCAGATTTGGATGCCACCTTTCTATCTAGGGCCATTTCAGGTTGCTGGTTTTAGATCTTCTCCGTGGAATAGGGATGCACATCTTTCAGACTGTATTCCCACCTCCTTGCTCAGAGTACTCCAGTGCTTGACCTGGGGGCGAGAGTGGGTGGGAGTCATTCAATGAAACTGACCTGTAGTCTTGTCAGGACAGACAAATCAGACACACAATTAGCTTATGGAATTCATTGCCACAAGATTTGGTTCCGATGGCTCTTTTATGTCTCCCTCACCCACTCTGCAGATTTCCGAATGTGTTCTGCCTCCTGAGTTTGATCATTCCATTGACATAGTGTTTTTAGGGGAGAGGGATTTGCAAGAAAATAGCAAAACAAAGAGTTTCATTGGTCTTGTGAACTATACTCAGTTCTGGGGCATTTAACATTAGCCCGAACATTTCCTGTTTGGACATGTACTCTCTCCTTGCACATCTACCTGTAAACCAGGTGAAAAGTAAGTACCTTAACTGTGTGACTGCTTGTATGCTGGAACTCCTGGTTATAGGGTTGCCACCTGTCCTGTAAAATCAGTGGCATAGCTAGCTGTTCAGGTGCCCAGGGCAGTGTGCATGCCCTGCGCCCAGGGGACAGGGTGAGCCACCCATGGGGGCGGGGCGAGCTGGGGCAGGCATGCTGCGAGGAACCTCGCTGCCTCCTTCTCGGTTGTAGGACGGCAGCCTGAAGGGGAGGCGGCGGGCAGACACAAGCCACACATTGCCCTTGGGGGCAGCGTGGAGCCTGCAGGCACCCGAGCCACCGTGTCACTCCCAGGAGAGACACGTGGCTTGGGCACACTGCAGACCCCGAGGTAAGCGACACCCCCCATGGTGTGGTGCCCAGTGACCCCCGCTTTCCCTAGCTACGTCTCTGTTTATTATACAGGTTTGCCCCGTATTTCACTTAAAAATGCTACGTTCTGTATTGACAACAGTTTTGTGCTGTATTCCAGGTCTCTCTCTCTCTCTCTCTCTCTCTCTCTCTCTCTCTCTCTCTCTGCCAAGCAAGGGATCCTCTCCAAATGCATGTGTTTGGAAGGGTGTTTGAAAGGTCATGCGTTTAAGCCATGGGTAGGCAAACTAAGGCCCAGGGGCCAGATCCAGCCCAACTGCCTTCTAAATCCAGCCCACAGACGCTCCGGGACTCAGCATGTTTTAACATGAGTAGAATGTGCCTTTTTTAAAAAAATGCATCGCTGGCTTATTTGTGGGGCGTAGGAATTTGTTCGTATTTTTCCCCACAATATAGTCCAGCCCCCCACAAGGTCTGAGGGATAGTGGACCAGCTGACCCCTGGTTTAAGCTCTGGGTAGCCTAGCACAGACGGATTTACAAATTTGTGCATGTGCATGTGTGACAAATTCCAGAGGGGCTATCCTGTTAGGTTGCAGTAGATTGCAATGGATTGCTTTGAAGTCACTTTGGCACAAGATGAAAAAGAAAAAGAAAAGTCCTCCAACTGCACTTCCCTGCCCAGTTCTATATTTTGCCAGAACAAAGGTTGCAACCCTACCCTGGTACCTCCTTTCAATTTAAAATGATTGGCATGGTTGGAGTATCAAGGAAGCAGACGGATGAACTGGCACCAGGGTTCATGGCAGAGCAAATAAATTGCTCGGATGTTTGCTGGTTGCATTTGCTCTCATGGCAGCCATTGTGCTTTCAGACTCTTCCCCACTTCCCTGTTTTGTGCTGTTCCAACATTCCATTTAGAACCTTGGCATTGCTCTCGGGGTCGCGACCCATTCCACTTTTACTGTCTACGTCTGGTTTATGAATCATCTGTTTACAGCCTTGAGAGTGCTATCTGGGTAGCTCGCAAGCCGGCAGAAACAGAATGACATATAGACGGCCATGCAGAAGCCAGCATTCTGCCCAAAGAGCATGATGCACATGCAAAATGCACCCAGCAGCATTTAGAGGAGTGAGGTAACCCCACCAAGGGCATTTGAGCCCCTCTGGCAGGGTATAACATGTGACGCCCTGCATATAAGAACATGAAGCTGCCTCACTGCATCGGGCAAACATTTCATCTAATCCAGCATTCTTCTTTCCAGGCGTCTCTGGGTCCTCACACAAGCAAGACACAAAAATGATGTCCTTTCCCCCAACATTTGTCCCCAGCTTCTGCTGTTCAGAGGCAGTCCCACTGCCTCTCCCTACAAGAAATTCCCACTTATCTATCACACCTAATTGCCTCTGATTTGCCATCCTTCTCTGTGGCAGGTGAAATAAAGGTTGCTTGAAATTCTCTAATTGTGTAGAGAAAAGTGAGAGGACCTTTATAAATTCCATAAGCCCCTCCTCTCTGGGCTCACCCAAATTTTTATTTAATTTTAGCTTTCATTGCATTTTTAAGTAATTCTTATGCTGTCAGAGCGATTGTAAGCTGAGCTGTACATTGTTTTATTCAGTCTCCCCTAGGGAAGGTTTTATGCTGTTTTTAATTGAAAATTGTTTTAATTATTGCATTTTGTATTTTTAAAAAATATTGTATGATTATTTTTGCTTTTTTTGTGAGCTGCCTAGCAAATTATATCATGGGTGGCATAATATTGTCAATTGTTTCGGGATGCCTTGTGGGAAGCAGTTCATGAATGAATGAACAAACAAATAAATAAATGATGTTACCACAGTACCAAAACAATTTTTCAAATAAAAAGAATCCCCAAGCTCAACCTAATCATTAACAAACCGAAACTAAAAACGCACAGCCAAATCTGGCTCTCTGTAGCCTTCCAAAACAATAGATAAGGGTATGAGTGCAATATTTAGGGGATCCACCCTCCCTTGGCTGCCCCCACCCCACATAATTAAAGCACTAGGCATCTATTGGGATAGTCTATTAACTTAAAATTGGTTATTGCTGTCAGTTTTTATTTTCTAAATTTTTTTGCGGGGTGACTTTTGGATTCAACAGATAAACTGTGTATTTGTTGGTCTTTTATAGTTTGTATATAAGTTCATCTTGCATCCATTGAGAAAGGCATAGAAGACATGGAAATGGAATGAAATGAAAGGAGATGAAAGAATGCCCCCAGATATAAACCACAGGGTCTGGGAGCTCTTGATGCTGACTCTAGCCCACCCCCCTACAAAAAAAGTCCATTACTTGCCCATTATTCTGAAATAAAGCCAGGTTAGCCTTGCAAAAGCACCACTTTAAGAATAATAGCCAAAAAACCCTAGCTATTCTGAGGCTAAAATGGTACTAATGGGCCTGGATGCAGATGTTAAGTGGCAATCGATTGCTTGGTGTGGCTCACCTACTTTTGCTCCCTCCAGCAACATTACCGGAGGGGAAGTGAATTTTCAGAGGATACTTATGCAAAAACAAGGGGTGTCAATAGCAATGTCTATGCTGCTTATCACAGCCTTGATGTTGAGGAGCACACCCTTGTTTCCCTGGAGTATTTCTCTTCGTTTCTCAAGGTAGGAGGTGATGGATGAGTCTGAGCACCACCTTCCTACCCATCTAGTTTGGGGCTTTAAGCATCTTAGCAAACACCTGCAACAGGCTTCCCCAGCTTGGCACCGTCCAAATGTTATGGAGTGCAACAGCCACCACCCCTTCCAGCATTGCTATGCTGGCCAGAGGTGATAGGAGGTGTGGTCTGCAAAATCAGGATGATGCCAAGTTGGGAAAGCTAGTCTAAAAGCATCCTTGGAGAAGGCAAGGAAGGCATCCTAAGGAGATCCTGTTGGCCACACTGGTCCTGCAATGGACCCCTGCAAAAAATGAATCCATACACAAGGGGATGAGTATGAGCTTAAGCTGGCTGCTGCCACCTCCTCTCTATCACCACTACCCCAGCCTGGTGCATACATGCTCAGAAATAGGTGCTGGTGTATCTGACGGCCAATGAAGCTGTGCGCCACATGAATACATCTGGACAGATTGGGAGCTGCTGCCAAAAACAACTTAGTCTGGAATGAGTTGCCATTGCACAGCTCTGTCAAGGGATGGGTGGACTTTTGGGGTCTCTAGCCAGGGTATTCTTCACTTGACCAGTGCAAATGCAACTGAGAAGCTCTTGAACCTGGTGGACTCCTTCCTGTTTGCATTTCTGAGCAGCTGTCCTTTTCCTGCACTCACTAGAAAATCTCCCTTGCTCCCCTTTTTGCCTTTGCTTTCAGCTACAGTCAAAAGCAAGCACTGTTCCTATGCCCAACTATCTCATTCCTGCTCTCCTTCCATTAGTCCCTGTGCTCTCTGATTTTTTTAATTATCTGACTTTGAGCCCTGGCTTTGATGATATGGAACTCTGAGAACCATCATGATCATTTGAGCCACTTAAGACATAAGTAGTCCCGACTCTAATCCAGCCCACTAGTAGCACCTAGCTCCTCTCTGGAGTGGACCTGGCCTCTGGTAGTATCTAAGAGGCCCGTGCTGCGGGGAGAGCAGCCCCAAACCTCAGAGGATTAAGCTGGCTGGGGGGTCCTGCCAGGGACTGATTGCTTTTTTGTTTGAGTTTATAACTTTATTCTAAGAAGACTGCTGCCCTGGGCCTCAGACAAGCGCCGCACCAGCCTGGCATCTAGTATCCATGTGTATGTTTCATAAGTCACCAAGGGCCCCCATTCATCTTGCTCATGATGACAAGTATCTGTATGGAATAACTTTCATCTCCTAGCTTAACACAGGGGTGGATTAGTTTAATTTACTCCATCAGTGGCAGAAAGAAGAGAGAGAATGCTAAGTCAAACGAGAAGGGAAATTGTTTCTTTGTGGGATCATGGGTTCACTTCCATATCTTGCTATATATTGTGGTATCTTCTTAATTAAGTGACACGTTTCTCCAGTCTGCTACAGGGTCACCATATCAAGTAATTTGCTTCCCTCCCTCCACTTCTCCCACTGTGTGTGATCAATGGCCCGCCGATGGTTTGGGGGTGATGTCACCTTGATCAGCTATTCATAGGCTAGGAAGCTTTTAAATGGGCCAAGAGGGGCCACTCAAACTACAATTAAAAGCACTGCAATTTATTGTCAAAGTTTACCCAAACACTTTAGACAGCGACACTGCCAGGATGACGACAGCGTCTGAAGAGCAGGAGGCAAGAAAGAGGCCTTTGAACACTTCGTATCTCCACTCAGCCTCTGCGATCATTAACTCGGTCGACTTGAGACTCCTAAAGGTCACCACACAATACACATTGTTGCAGTCTTTAATGGATTTTCCCAAGATGTGATTATTTCTCCACTCAAGAATCTGTCGCTGATAATACAGAGGTAGGCAGAGCAAACCCCAGCCATCCTTCTAACGTGGAGCTTAGCAACTTGAGAAACCCCAGATAGCAGTCATAAGGATTCCAACAGCTTAGAAAAGTTTGTATTTTTGTACTTTGGTTAACTCTTAGCAGCGGAAGTGGCTTGGGCCTTCATCTTGTTATTACAGTGGCCAACCTGATGCCCTCGATGCAAAGCCTGCAAGCAGGACATGAGCACGACAGCAGCAGGTGTTTGGTTATTTGCATTGAACCAGAGAAATGTTATAATGCTGTCAAAAGTTCAAAACATACCTCAGATGCTGTAGTGTGTGCAACACCAGATTGCCCACTACATGATGCCTTAGGATGGATTTACATACATGGATGTGTGCTAGCAACAATATGCATCCCTTACATCAGAGATTCCACATCTAGAGAGCTTGCAGAGTGTGATAAAGCTTGAGGAAGAACACTGTTGGCCAACCTCACTCACCCGATCAGATCTGGCCATCTCCCAATGACAAAAAGTAGGGATAAAGTAAGGACCGTGATGTAACAGGGACAAGGACCAGAAAACAGGAAATGTCCTGGGTAAACAAGGACAGTTGTGGCAGCACATGAACTGTGTGGAGAACAGCTACCCAGGAGTCTAGCCAGGCTCCTGGCACAAATGAGAGAGGTAGGAAGATCCAGTTTGTTTCTCCACCCCACCTTCCAGAACGAGACACACATTTGCTACTTGCCCGACCTGCAGGTTGAAAGGACAGCCCCTGATGTGAGGTGACATTAACAGCTGCTTAGCAACCGCAGCTGCATAGTTGGTCACTGGCCAATCAGGCAGCAGGGGAGGGGAAATGTCAGCAATGTTCACCTGCATCCTTTCCATATGGCATTTTGAACTAGGAGATACTTTGGGAAAGAAGGGGAATGAGAGAGCTGGGGCATTTAATCCAAAGTCCCCTTTATGTAAAGGTAAAGGGACCCCTGACTATTAGGTCCAGTCGTGGCCGACTCTGGGGTTGCAGCACTGATCTTGCTTTATTGGCCGAGGGAGCCGGCGTACGTGGCCAGCATAACTAAGCCACTTCTGGCAAACCAGAGCAGTGCACGGAAACGCTGTTTACCTTCCCGCCGGAGTGGTACATATTTATCTACTTGCACTGCATGCTTTCGAACTGCTAGGTTGGCAGGAGCAGGGACCGAGCAACGGGAGCTCACCCCGTCGTGGGGATTCGAACCCCCGACCTTCTGATCGGCAAGTCCTAGGCTCTGTGGTTTAACCCACAGCACCACCTGAGTCCCTTTATGTACATAACTTAATAAGATCAGGCCCATATAGTCCAGCTTCCAACTCTCACAGTGGCCACCTGGATGCATGTGAGACACCGGCAAGCAGAACTTGAGCACAAGTGCGCTCTCCCCTCCTATAGCTTCCAGCAACTGGTATTCCGAAGCATTACTGCTTCTGACTGTGGAGGTAGAACATGGCCATCATGTGGGATACTTCCTCCCTCTCCCCCACCTCCCGAAACCCACCCATCTTCTTTTCCCATAAAGGCTTCTTTTCATTGCTCATTACCTGCTTGATCAAAACTGTTTCAAATTATGAAGGCGGCAGCAGGAAGTCCAAGTTGACCTGGAGAAGCCTTTTGGCTGCCTGCCTGCCTGCCAACCAGAGCAATGGGACTCGGCGGGGAGCTAATGGCTGTTAGTATCTTCAAAGGAAGTGCTAAGAGGCCAACAATGTAATTACCATGTATATGTTATGCTAAGTGGCCCTTGAGTTTTCCCTGCCACAGAGAGGACTGGGGGACATTTCACCTTCTTCTTCCATTGGGTATCAACCCCCCAAAACATAAGGTGGGGTGGGGAAGAGGCATTTAATGCAGGAAATGAGCATTTCTTAATTTGCAGGGTGCTCTGTAGTAGCAGTAATAATAATGCTATTAAATTAAAATGAGCTAGTGGTGGCTACACTTTCCCCTCATATTGTGAAGCCATTAACACAGGGGTAGCCAACATGGTGCCCTGCAGATGGTGTGAATTATGACTCCCATCATCCCTGAACATTGAGCATGCTGGCTGAGGCTGATGGGATTTGTAGTCCAACAACACCCAGAGGGCCACCAGTTCCCTGCCTTAAAATGAGACTTTACCAGTGAGTTACCAATTGCCATTCTTGTGATACAGAAGGAGTGGCTGCTGTCTTCTCTAAGGACATGACATGTCCTACTATAGCCCCATGGTTCTTCTGCCCCATATGTCCAGCATAGGTTGCTGCTTGAGATCTGGTGGTGCAAACCTCTCTTTGCTCCACAGTGGCTGAAGCAAGCCAGTGAGATCTAGCTCTAGGTCAAAATTTCATAAAAGGTTAAGCAGGATCACACTCAGTCTCCATGATCCAGATCTTTGTAGGCAAACACATGACAACTGGGGGCTGGGGTTTCAAGCCTGTCTGAATCAGACCCAGGTGAGAACTGGCTGAGGACAGACTGATGTTGGTGGGGCAGTATCCTATTTGCCCTAATGGACCAGACTCCATTATTTATGAACAAGTGCTCATTGCCACTTGCACGCCCCAGTCACTTCTGAGCCCTGAATTAATCTGAGCCACATAGAGTTGAAAGAGGAAGTGACAAACAGCACCCCTTCTCCAACTTCCTCCTTCAGCTCTATGTACTTTTCAAGGGAGAGAAAGCTATCCACCACGCCACCTCACCGAGTGAGGGGGCATTCAAAGGGTTTGTGGGCACCAGGGAAAGACCTCAAAGTTGCCAATGCACCCATAGCTCCCACACAGCTATGTGCAGCAACCTTACGAAAGCAAAACTGTTCTAGATCTGGTCAATGTGTGACTGGGATGCTGCCTATAAACCAAAGAGGAATATGGTGATTATGATAGTAATATGCTGCAGCATATGCATCTGATCTTTTGGGTTATTTGTGGGGGGTTTTTGGGGGAAGGGGTTCACCTGAAAGTCCCCCTCCGGCAACTGCTGGTTTGTTTGTTTTTTGATACTGTTGAAATGGTTTGAATTTGCAACTTTTGTTTGAATTTGGGTCTTTTGTATTGCTCATTCTTGCATTATTTTGTATTTACATGTATCTGTTTATTCATTGTGACCCACCTTGGGAGCCTTTTGGGCTTAAAGGCGGCATATAAATGAACGGTAACAACACAACACAACACAACACAACACAACACAACACAACACAACATACTTCTAGTCCCCAAATCACAGAAATAAGAGCTGCCAGCCCATGTGTTGAATGGACCAGTTTAAATTAGGACTGTGTGAATTTGTGTGTGTGTGTGTCTGTGTGTGTGTATCTCACATACTTACCTATAGCTGTGCAGAACACCAGTGAAAATACATTCGTTTCTGGGTGAGGGCGATAGTATTTGTGCAGAGGCAGGGACTGGAACAAGGAGCTCATCAAGTGAGAACGTTAATAAAATGAACATCTGCGAAGTTTCTGTCACTTGTGGGAATTGTAGCCATAGAAAGAGAAAGAGAGCGGGTGTGCGAGAGAGAAATTAAGATTCATGAATACACATCTTAATCCATCAATGATCATTACACATTTATTATTTGGTTAGAGTAGCGACTCTTAGATGGCAACAGAGATCAGGACTTCAGTGCTGCATGTTAAGAGTGACACAGCCAGGGGAATTGTCCTTATTCGCTCACCCTCCTAGCTATTACTATTCAGTGGGGTTTCTGCTAGGTCCCACAAGGCTCCTGGTGGGGCTATGATGACACAGGCAGAACCACCTCAAATTCTTCTTTGTGACTCTAGAAGGCATATCCAGTAATGACTTGTGACAAAGGGCTGTGGCTCAGTGAAAGAACATCTGATTTGTGTTCAGGTTCAATCCCCAATGATGTGTCTAGGTGCAGCTTGGAGAGACCTGCCTGAAACCCTGAAGAGCCACTGCCAGTCAGTGTAGGCAAAACTGACCTAGATGGACCAATAGTCTGACTCAAATATGGCTGCTTCCTATGTTCCTATATGTAATTAAAAGGTAAAGGTACCCCTGCCCGTATGGGCCAGTCTTGACAGACTCTAGGGTTGTGCGCTCATCTCACTCTAAAGGCCAGCGCTGTCCGCAGACACTTCCGGGTCACGTGGCCAGCATGACGAAGCTACTCTGGCAAGCCAGAGCCGCACACGGAAACACCGTTTACCTTCCCGCTAGTAAGCGGTCCCTATTTATCTACTTGCACCTGGGGGTGCTTTCGAACTGCTAGGTTGGCAGGCGCTGGGACCGAGCAACGGGAGCGCACCCCACCGCGGGGATTCGAACTGCCGACCATACGATCGGCAAGTCCTCGGCACTGAGGTTTAACCCCAATTGCAAAATGGCAGGCTCAGAGCCCAGTGAAAAGAGAGCAAGAAAAGATGGTGGTGTGCCTGCAATTTTCCTCTCATGTAGTTTCAGAAACAGGAAAATAAAGTTTAAAGACTAAAAGAAAAGGTGGTGGCACCCATGCCACCAGTCCTGACAGGAAGACTTCCTGAATTTGTTCAGATCAGCTGGCAGGAAGGTTTGGAGAGCAGTGGCGTAGCGTGGGGGGTGCAGGGGGGGCCGGCCGCACCGGGCGCAACATCTGGGGTTAGGGCAAATCCACGGATTAGGGGGCACGGGGGGCGCAAATCCACAGATTAGGGGGCGCAAATTACTTGCCTTGCCCCGGGTGCTGACAACCCACGCTACGCCACTGTTGGAGAGGGACTTGTGAGTTCAGCTTTGATGGAATCTTTCTTGAGCTTGGCCAAAGAAGGGATGGTGGGGAGGAGGGAGAAAACTCTGTGTATTCAGGCAGGGAGATTGAAAACAGAGAGTCAAATCATAGAAGTGAACCAGGCAGTTCTTGACTCTTTTTACACAGTTTACACATTTACTTGCACTTTCCCCCATCCCAGAATAGAAGCAGAGGAGACTCCGCTCCCATGCAACAAAAACCTCTTCAGCACCAAGTTCTGTGGGGGCATATAAATCAGAGGAGTGAAATCAAAACATTGGTTGTTGTTTTAAAAAACTTCCCAATAATCAGATTAATGCAGCAATGCTGGCTGTCCAGGGGAGCTGTGGAGCTTCCTAGCTTTCTGACCTCCAAGGCCTGCTCAGCCAAATACAGGTAGCTTTCAGAACACCTGCCTAGTATGCTGCAGGTGCTAGGTACATCTCTGTGTGTGTGTGTGCGCGCGTGCTAGATTGCCCACTGGGCTCCCACCAACACTTCTAAGGTTCCATCTTATTTCCACATGCACCCTGGGAAAACAATCTGCTATCAATTACCAAGTGCTTGGAAAGGGAGGTAGCTGCAGCCTCCGGTACAGGTGGAAAAGCAAAGGTCACAGATGCTTTCCTTCCTTCCTGCTAATTTTCTCTGTGTCTCTAGCCAAGACCCTTGGCCTAGAAAGGCTGTTTGCAGAAGGACATCAGGGCAGGGAGCCACACAGGTTGGCTCCGGCACAGCATTCGGGTGGGTGAGCACCATGTGACCTCCTGCACACCTCTCCATTTGATGTCAGGATGACTCGATGGCATCAAGTGCACTGGCTCAGGAGAACTGGTGCTATGCTTGATCTGGCAGGGAACGGATTACGCGTGTTCCTTCTTTCTTCCTCCTTCCCCGCCGCCCCCAGCACTTTGACTGGCAGCTGGGGGTGGGGGTGGGGAGAGAGAATAACCCAATCTAAATGTTCCCAGGGGTCCAGAGAAGAACTCATTACAGCCAGCCTGCCAGTAGCCAGCAGTTCTGCTTTGTGAGCTGTGAAACTAATGTTTATCCACCACTCAGTTAGATTCAGTGCCATTTAAGAGGCAGAGGGTATTAAAAGGGAGGGATGGAGCACTCTGTTGCCCAGGGGGTTTCTGCAACCAAGCCTGTGCACAGGAACCCAGTGCAGTTTGCTTAAGGCAAGGAGATCGCTAGCTAGGGCAACCAGACTGAGCCAAGAGCAAGGAGTAAGGGATGTGTGCAGCCACTGTGGCTCACCTACTAGCCATTTCCTGCAGTTGGCTGCTTGCAGGCGTCTCCCTAGCACAGATAGAGTCAAGGGGTGGGAATCTGCTCTCCATGCCTGCCCATCTGATCTCAATAAATGCTCCTTTCTTGCCAGAAAGCTGGCAATTGGTTGCATTCTGAATGAGAGTAAATCAGAGCAGCGAATTGCCCTGTAGGGCAGTCCTGGTGTCCAGTCCTGGCCATTCCTGATGCCTCACAGTCAATCTAGGGCTGGTTGGGGGCTGATGGGAGTCATAATTCAAAATATCTGGAGGGGGCAATGTTGGCAAAGGTTTCCTTACAGAAAAAGGGAGGTGGGGGCACCAGAGGATGATTCGGGAGGGGTGCGCAGAGGACCAGTCAATCCATTTGCTAAAGTAATAACACAGCAGTCTTCAGATCCAATTTATTGTAATCCTGGCGATTCTCCCTGGCTGCCAACACACCACCCCATGGCTGAACACACCGGGGCTGCCATGTTTGCCTTCAAATTACTCCTCAAAACTCAATTTTTCTTTGAAGCTTTTGACACAACTCGTCAGTCCTCAGGTCCACCTGAAATGAAGCCTAAATTCTGCCAGTGGCATTTGCTTGCTTGCCCCCATCCCTTGAGACCCTTCTCTCATCCTCTCCATCTCTCTTCCTTTGTTGTGTCTCCTCCACTATTAAAATCCCAAATTGAAGCTTCCTCAGGAAGGTTATGTTACTTGGGAAACCACCATGTTCCTAGCTGGTCATCTGTGAGATTAATTGTAAGTAACAAGACACACTTTCAACTGGATGTACTCAACATTAGACCAGCAGCACCCAGCCTTTCATCTAGCCTTTTTATTTCCCACTGTATTCCACCCTCCTTTATCAGTTCATATTCATATTGTTAGTTCTGTTTTGATTTTGACAAGGTTTCTACCAAGGGGAATGGTAGTGGCTCAATGGCAGAGCACCTGCCTTGCAAGCAGAAGGTCCCAGGTTCAATCCCTGGGGTCTCCAAATAGGGCTGAGAAAACTCCAGGCCTGAAACCCTAGAGAGCCACTGCTGCCTATAGTGTGTTGTTGTTTAGTCGTTTAGTCGTGTCCGACTCTTCGTGACCCCATGGACCAGAGCACGCCAGGCACCTCTGTCCCCCACTACCTCCCGCAGTTTGGTCAAACTCATGCTGGTAACCTCGAAAACACTATCCAACCATCTCGTCCTCTGTCGCCTATCAGTGTAGACAATACTAAACTAGATGGGCCAATTGTCTAACTCAGTATAAGGCAGCCTCCTGTGTTCCTGTGTAGAGCCCAGCTTCCCTGCTAGGCTTTCTTTCCAGGCACCTTCCGGAGCAAATTATCGCTCTGTGGGACATTCACCATGTATTTAGAGAGGATCTCCCCCATCCTCTTGTAATCTTGTGGGGTTGGAAGCTCTTTTGCTGTTCTGCTTTCAGTGCCCCACCCCCTTCACTTTCTCTGGCACTCTCAGTCTGCAGCAGCTCTGTGCCCCTCAACAATAGCTGAGCCATCTTTCAAGGAAAAGTGAGAAGGTAGACAATGACATTTTTCACATTCTTTCCAGTAAGGGGGGTATCACTGGGGTAGCAGGAGGGGATAGTCCAAAGCATTGAGTACCTGGGAGGAAGGTCAGGCTTGAGGTGAATCATAGAACTGTAGAGTTGGAGGGGACATCAAGGGTCATCCTTACAATGCAGGAATCACAGCTAAAGAGTAGATGATACTACTACTACTACTAATAATAATAATAATTTATTTGTACCCCGCCCATCTGGCTGGGTCTTCCCGGCCACTCTGGGCGGCTTCCAACAAAGATTAAAAATACATTAAAATGTCACACATTAAAAACTTCCCTGAATGTCTTCTAAATGTCAGGTAGTTGTTTATCTCTTTGACATCTGATGGAAGGGTGTTCCACAGGGCGGGCGCCACTACCGAGAAGGCCCTCTGCCTGGTTCTCTGTAGCCTTGCTTCTCGCAGTGAGGGAACTGCCAGAAGGCCCTCAGCACTGGACCTCAACATCCGGGCAGAACAATGGGGTGGAGATGCTCCTTCAGGTATACTGGGATAGATGGCCTCCCAACCTCTGCTAGAAAACATCCAATGAAGGAGACTTCGCCACCTTCCAAGGTAGTCTGTTCCACTGTTGAACAGCTCTTGCCACCAGAAAGTTATTCTTGATGTTTAGGCAGAATATACTTTTTTTTGTAATTTGAATCCATTTGTTTGGGTCCTACCCTCTGGAGCAGAAGAAAACAAGTTTGCCCCATCTTCTATGAGACAGGTATTTGAAGATGCCTACTACATCACCTCTCAGTCTCCTCTTTCCCAGGCTCAACGTACCCAACTCCCTCAATTCCATAAGGCTTGGTTTCCAGATCCTTGATCATCTTGGTTGCCCTCCTCTGCACATGTTCCAGCTTATGAATATCCTTCTTACATTGTGGTGACCAGAACTGGACACA